TAAATAGATAAAATAAGGATAACCATAAATCAATTTGAGTACAGATTAAATGAAATAATTCCTGGAAACTTCTTAGCATAGAGAAGCATGAAATATTAATATATGTCTTAATTTCTTTTTGGAGAATCCACAGAATAAGGAAAAATGAACGGAGATTAGTACTATATTGCTTCTGTAACTTCAAGTGGACACGAACACCAGAGTGGGACAAAACTAATTTACTTGGGAATAATACAGCATGGCCCATCATTTCCCTGATCAGGTTCCAAGCCTAGTCATCTTAAGTTAAAAGACGCTTGACAGGGAGTCACTAACTGCTGAGAATGACAGCACTCTGCCCTGCCCAGTTCCTGAGGCATTAGAAATAAGAAGAGGAATGTATTCATTAGTAACTTCAATTCACCAGCTAGGAGGAACTAAACTAAATCCTCCTGTTGAGTCCAGAGATACTTCCTGGACACCTACGGGACCTCTAATTTATGCCTTCCCTTACCCACTACTACATTGCACTCACCAGATCCCATCCCCTTTGCACTGGCTTTATTGAGGTTGTTAGTGTAGCAATGCTAGGTATGTTACTTATTTATTATTGTATAAAAAACTACCCTCAAAATTTAGTGATTTAAAATTTAGTGATTAAAAACAAACATTTATTATCTCATATTTTCTGTCAGCTAGAAATTTGAAAGAGCATTAGCTGGGTGAGTCTGAATCAGAGTATATCATGATTTCAATCAACATACGGGCCAGGGCTTCCCTGGTGGCGCAGTGGTTGAGAGTCCGCCTGCCAATGCAGGGGACACAGGTTCCTGTCCCAGTCCGGGAAGATCCCACATGCCGCGGAGCGGCTGGGCCCGTGAGCCATGGCTGCTGAGCCTGCGCGTCCGGAGCCTGTGCTCCGCAACGGGAGAGGCCACAACAGTGAGCGGCCCACGTACAGCAAAAAAAAAAAATATATATATATATAGAGAGAGAGAGAGAGAGACCAGAAGACTACAACCATCTGAAGCTTGACTGAGGCTGAAAGATCCTCCTTCAAGATGGCTCACTCACATGGTTTTGATGAGAGGCTTCAGTTCCTCACCAGGTGGGTCTCCCCATAAATTCTCTTCATGACATGGCCAATGGCCTTCCCCAGAGCAAGTAATCTGAGAGAGAGAGAGAGAGAGAGATAAAGAGGGAGAGAGAGAAAAATAGAGGTTGAGAGGAGAGGGGAGGGGGAACAGAATTTCACTGCCTTTTGTAACATAATCTTATAATTGACATACCATCTCTTCTGTATTCTATTGTCACACAGACCAAGAGTAGTGATAGCACAGTATGGGAGGGAAATACACAAGAGTGTATGGATCATCTCAGAGGTTGGCTACCCCAAAGAGGACCTACCTGAGTTACAGTACAAATACAACACCCATTATTACACAACTTTGTAAGGTAAAAACTAAAAGACCCTCCTTGATCATTCTTCGGTCACTTGCCCCTTCACTCACTATACTCCAGACACAATACCTATCTTTCAGCTCCTGAGTACATCAAGTTGTTGTTTTTCACCTATGAGCCTTTGCATATCTCTTCCTTCTTCCAGAAATTCTCCTCCCTCCCAATCTCTGCATCTTAAGTTCTCAGTTTAAATACTGCTTCCCCAGAGAGTTCTTTCATGATCAAATTATGTCATCAGTGATGTTAGTACTAACAATGATAATTGTTAATATTTACTGCATGGTTACTATATGCCAGGTACCATTCCAAGAACTTTTTATGTTCTAACACATTTAATTCTCACAATAACCCAATGAATTAGGTACTTTTATTATCCACATTTTACAAATGAGCAAACAGGCCCAAAGAAGCAACTTTCTTAAGGCAAGAAAACTAGGAACTGGTGAAGGATTTGAGGAATAGTGTGACTGACGTGTCCTGAACAAGAAGAGAGGGGAATGAGAGGAGATTGGAAAGAATAGTCAGGAAACTGATCTTGTAGAGCCTATAGACCATAGACTATAGCCTATAGCCATAGACCATATTATGTTGATATTTTATTCTAAGGGCAATAGTAAACCATTGGAGAGTTGTAAGCAGTACATATAATCTGATAAAGTAATACTTAAACATTTTTTAAATATAAAGAATAATAAACACTCAACCTAAGAAATAAAACACTACAAATATTGTTAAAGAGCCCTAGGCTACTCTCCTTTCCCCACTTACTCTTAGAAGTAGCCCCTATTTTAGGACTTCCCTGGCAGTCCAGTGGTTAAGACTCCACACTTCCACTGCAGGAAGCACAGGTTCAATCCCTGCTGGGGGAGCTAAGATCCCACATGCTGCGTGACGTGGCCAAAGAGAATAAAAAGAAGAAGTAGCCCCTATCTTGAATATCATTATATTTTTATCACATATGTATGTATATTATGTATATATACAGTACAACTTGCTCTTTTGTTCAATTTTGTGCTTTTAAATATATATACATTAACACTATTATCTCCAGTTCATTCATATTGACAGCTTTGTGATATTGCATTGTGTAAGTGTAGTAAAATATATTTTTTCATTCTCCCATTTGATGGACATTTATATGGCTTTAACATTTTTACAAAGAGAAACAATACTGCTGTGATCATTCTTGTATGTTTATCTCTCTAAAGTATGTCCTAGATAACAAAAGATTTTAAAACAATAAAAAGGAAAAGAAAAAGGAAAAAACACCAAAACTGTCATTATCTACAGACTAAATGATTATCAGTATAGTAGAATTAATAAGAAAATAATTATTAAGCAATTAATCTGAGTCTAAGATCAATTATGAATTACACACCAGCATCAAATAGTATGAAAATGTTCAAAAGATATAATTTACAAGTGAAAATAAACACAATGTACCTAATTCTAAATTTAATCAAAAAATGAAAGAACATTAAATTTACTTTTAGAGTTGTCTACCTTTTTCTATGGAGAATGGGTTGGAAAAGACAGGAGCTAAAGCAGAAAGATGAGTTCAGAGTTTTTCACCATTACCTAAAAGAAAAATGATAGTGACTAAGATCAAGTTGTTTGTAGTAGAATCGGAGACACATGGTCAAATAAAGATATGATTTGGAAATAGAAACAAGAGGACTTGGTAATGGATTGGATGTGGGGGGTGAAGGAAAGTATCAAAGATATTGAAATATAGTTTTGATCAATTGAGTGGTAATGAAATCTACTGAGGCTTGAGACAAATTAGAATGGTAACAAGAGTTCCACCTTAACATATCAGTATTGAAGTTGCCTGTTATGTACACGTAGATATAAGTAGAGGCTTCTGTCTCCAAGTGAGTGAACTAGCTTGTACCAAAACAACCCTCCTACCAAAAATAATTAAAAATGTATAAAATATTAAAATGTCTATTTGAAAAAATAAGAAATATAGCAAAGCAGTAAGGGTTTAAGCAGTCAAAATCCTGAAGAAAAAAGAAAACTGGAGCAGTGAGCCCGACATTCAGCATCACTTCTCCCCTAGAAGCATTTGACAATATGTAACTGGTGAATCAGAAGATACATCAAAATAAAATACCTAGACAGAAACATGGAGAGAGAAGTAAAAGATGGAAATACAGAAAGCAGAGTAAACATGTATAATATGGGCACAAGTCTAATATACTTCTGGGATATAATTTCACATCCACCAGATCAGCAAAAACTTTAAGTCTGATGATACTAAATGTTGACAAAGCTGTGAAATTTGGAATCATCTAATAAAACAGCAGAACCCTGTGAACTAGCAATTCCATTCCTATGAATATCCTAAACTCAAATATGGATTAAAGAAGAAATTGTAAAAAATGTTCATTCAGCATTGAATTTAATAGTGAAAAAGGGTCATCAAAAGGCAGATAGAGGGCTTCCCTGGTGGCGCAGTGGTTGAGAGCCTGCCTGCCAATGCAGGGGACACGGGTTCGTGCCCCGGTCCGGGAAGATCCCACATGCTGTGGAGCGGCTGGGCCCGTGAGCCACAACTCCTGAGCCTGCGCGTCTGGAGCTTGTGCTCCGCAACAAGAGAGGCCGCGACAGTGAGAGGCCCGCGCACCGCGATGAAGAGTGGCCCCCGCTCGCCACAACTAGAGAAAGCCCACGCACAGAAAAGAAGACCCAGCACAGCCATAAATAAATAAATAAATGAAATTTAAAAAAAAAAAAAAGGCAGATAGATACATTCATAAATAGAAACTGTAAAGGCACCTTCATTCTTCCAGTTGCCAGGCCCACATACCTTGCTCAATCTTATTCCTTTCAATCTCTCATAACCCCACATCTAAATTATCAGCAAATTCTATAGGGTCTACTTTAAAAATATATCAAGAGTCCAATCACTTCAAACCTCCAATGCCAGCTATCTTGTCCCTAAGCTTAAATACTTGCTAGTTCTATATACTTGGAATGGTCCATCCCCAGCTCCTTTCCTTTTTTTTTTTTTTCTTTTTCTTTTTTTCTTTTTTCCCCAGCTCTTTTTCTTGTGTGCAGCTCTAATTCCAGAACTACAAGTAATACAATAAATAATCCAGACAGCCATCTACTGCATGCTTAGGAACATCCTTGGATCAGGAATCAGTAAATAGAAACCCCAGCAACCTCATCTATTTCCAATAGCAGTAAGTTCAATTCAGGCTAAAATTTTCCTCAAGAGTACCTGTGGTTGAGACATAATTCACATACCATATGACTCCCCCATTTAGAGACGGTTTTTGTATACTACAACTTTTTAAGACTTGTGGCAAAATACATATAACACTAAATTTGTCACTTTGACCATTTTTAGCGTACAATTCAGTGGCATTAGTCATATTCACAATGTTGTGCAGCCATCACCGGGCATATTTGAATTTTTAAATAATTAACATGAGAAACATTTTAACTCTGGCCTTAAAAGAGTTCACAAAATCTTAGAACAATTTACAAGTTAATCATTTTCAAAACCAAGTTAACGGCAGTAATAAAATGCTTATGTAAGGACAATGGTTAAATCAAGAAAGCACTTTGCAGAAGAATCATGGGGTGAATGTGTAAGAGTTAGCAATCCACATGAAATTTTAAAATTATTTTTCAGGATTTAAAAAAAAAAAAACAGGAAAAAGGCAAAAGCATGCAACTCCTGAGGGCAATAGGATTCTTTCGTGGAAACATTTTAATATTTAGTGCCACAATAGGGGCAGGAATCTTTGTGTCTCCTAAAGGGGTATTAAAATATTCCTCACTGAATGTAGCTGTCTCCCTGAGTATTTGGGCTGCTTGTGCTGTGCTGACTTTGATCTCTGCTCTCAGTCACGCAGAGCTGGGGACAACATTCCCTAGAAGTGGAGCACAGTATTATTTCCTCAAAAGATCTCTTGGATCCTCTGTTGCTTTCCTCAGTCTTTGGATCAAACTTTTTACTCATCCCTTAAGACTAGCTACTGAAACCTTGTTACTATCTACCTATACAATTCAGCCTTTCTATGCCGGGTGCCCAGCTCCAGAGCTACCAAAGAAGTGTCTAGCTTTGGCTATTCTGTGGTCTTTGGGACTTCTAAATACTCGAGGGGTGCAAAAAGTGGCTTTGTTTCAAACTATCAGTACTGTGACAAAGATGACTGTCCTCTGCTTCATTTCCATCACTGGGATTGTGCTGTTAGGGATTGGGAAAAAAGAGAACGTGGCCAGGTTTGAGAACGCTTTCGACGCTGAACTTCCTAACGTCTCACAGATTGCAGAAGCCTTCCTACAAGGATTGTTTGCATATTCTGGCACGTCAATCCTGAACAGCATAGCAGGTAAATCTTTTTCTGAAATAGTTTTGTCGCAGCATAAAGTTTTGTCTACAAGTCTGTGGAGAAAGATATATCTGATTTGTTTATTTGTGGGGAATTGAATTAAATCTGTTCTGCATGCTCTACATGTATGTAGTTTAATCATCATTAAGACTTGGTAGATACTTATCTATATAATATACACAGAATTTAGTGTTTTTCAGGTCACTCCCCTATCACAAACTTGGGAATTTTATAAAGTTTTCAAGAGAAAATTAAGACCACTCTCAGATTTTACCGTACTTTATTCTAACAATTTTTCAAGACATTTTGAGTTAAATATCAATTATATAAGAAATATATTAACATAATCCATTTGTAAAAAATTAAAACTATCACAGATTTTATATATCCCCTACCACATTGGTAAAATTTCACATCCTAATTTTGATTCCACAATATGTCTTAGAGAAATTTCCATATTAGTTCTTAGTCATCTAACACATTCTTTTAACTGCTGCATAATATTCCTTAGAATGGCTTTACCGCACTTTCACATTAGAGGTACTTAAAATGTTTCCCATTTTTTACAATTTCAAGGACTGGTGTAATATCCATGCTTTCCTGCTTATATACACTGTTGTTTCTGCAGGGCAATGCTGCCCCCTCTGATGTCATGGTACCAAATGAATTTGGTAATAGTTGCATAGCTCTCTACAGTAAACAAAAGAAATAAATAGAAAACAATTCACTATATTTCTTTTACATTTTAAACTTATAGGAATATTAAAATTTAAGGAATATATTAAATATTGAAGTTATATAAAACTTCCAAACAAAATCTTTGCAAAAATTTTAATAAGAAACTGGAGTTTGTTCCTCTAAATATAATGTTGCTATAGATTTTATGTTTGAAATGTCCTTAATACTTTATCAAAACTTTTAGTGATGATTTCTTCAAATTCTAAATTCTTGAATTATTGAATTTTTTTTTATGTTCCCCAGTCAATGAAACACTTTGCTCACTCATGTAGATTACTAAAAATTTAACAGTTGATATATTTTTAAGTACTTTAGCATTTTCCTTTTTTAATTGACAAATGTAACATTGAAATTTCTTGCAATAAAATTAACAAATTTTTAAATATCAAGCCTTTTCAAATAAGACTTTAATTTACCTAGCACAAATTAATTATGCCAACAGTCACCTTGCTGCTAGTTTGGCCATTAAAAGGCACATGAGTCATAAGTGAAAATATTGGATATATATGGAGGCAGGGTTTCACAGGTCACTGCTTTTGGAACTGCATCCTCCAAGGGTCACCTAGTCAGTGGGCAGTGGTGGGTTCTGCAAAAATAAATACCCAGATGTTGGTGCACCCCTTGGTTAAAGTAAAGCATCGCACTAGAGCAAGCCCAGGTGTTCTTGATAGTGATGATTACCTAAAGACACAGCACGGTGCAGCTTTAGACCCAATTCTGTCTGAAGCACTCATCTCATTCTCCCCCTACTCCTTGGTTTGATTGGTTATCAAACAAGTTAAACCTTGAATTAAGGACAAGAATCCCATAACGGGAGCTGACAGAGAAGTGTAACTTCAGATCAATATGGTTGTGTTTGAAATGTCTAGTGAAATTTTCTGGATCTGCAGACTATTAGAGCAGAAGGTCGAATGCGATGAGTACAGTAACACGGCCAGAACTTGTGGCTAATTGAATGGGGCTGGCTATCAGAACCAGCACTTCATTAACTTACCAAATTTAGAGATCTGGCTTCTTCCATCTCAAAATGGGTGATCCTCGCTAGAAAGAACTCTCTCCCTCAAGTTTTGTTCTCCGAGTTCCTGAGCTGTCATATTCCTAACTAATTGTAAACAGAATAGATAGCTTGTGTCTAGATTCTTACCACCAGCCACATATGGCTAGTGAGCATCTAAAATGTAGTTAGTCAAAATGAGGTGCTCCATAGGTGTAAAATACACACCAGAAATCAAAATCTTGAATGAGCAAAACAATGTCCAATAGCTCATTAATACTTTTTTATAAATGTTACATACTGCAATGATAACATTTTGGATATCTGGGGATAAATATATATATTAATAATTCCATTTCATTGGTTTTTCTTTTATGTAGCTACTAGAAAATTTAAAATTACATAAATGGCTCACAGTATATTTTTATTAGACAGTACTGCTAGAATAGGAAAAATACGAAATGTTCCCAACTAGAGTCATTAGGCTTTTGTACCTTTTATCAGTTCATAAATGACTGTGGGCTGCTTCTGAGGGGAGAATGTAAACTTCTAGATTTTTCTAAGCAAGGCAGCTTCCTCCCCTCCCTGCCAAATCACCCAAGGACTAAGGGCAATTCTCAGGAGAAGGGTTCAGCTATAGGGAACTAGCAGCCATTATTCACAGAAGCTGGAGGAGAGGAGAACCTGCCGGTCAAGTTGTAAAGTCATTTACCCACACAGGGGATCAGGGTCACTATCTCAGGTGATTGAAGCTGTTGGGTGGACCATCCCAGCTTACACAGTTACTTACACTTCCCAGATTCAAGATAAGACATGTGATCTAAGCACTTGATGCTTCAAGTCACATATGCACAGGCTGGTTCTGTCACACCGTTGCTATAGTAATAGCGGACCCCAAGACCTCACAATTCAGCTGACACTGATTTTATATCAATATCACCTGATTTCTTTCCAATCGGAATTTGGATGGACAGACTCTCGCTTCTACATGGCTTACGACAAATTTCCTTCACAGCTTGAGTAGATTCAAACAATCTCTTGACTGCCTGATGGACTCTAAATTGTTTTCCTCTTATTATTTTATTCATAACCCATAAGACCCTGAATTCTATTCACACCTTTCTTACTTATGATGACCCAGTAGTCATTTTAATACAGTAAATTTGCCTAGGTAGGAAAAGTTTGCTTGGGAGAGTAAGGATGAGAAAGGTACTTCCTCAGAGGTCAATTTGCTTGAGGGAAAGAGATGAGAGAACCATTACTTCTGAAAAAAGGAAGAAATTACATATCTCAGATGGGATGAAGAGACATGCTACATACCAAACAGTCTTTTTTTTAAACAACTGTACATTTTTTATTTGTACAAATCTGTGGGCTGGCAATCTTTGTTGCTAACTGCAAAACCTGTTTCCCAAAGTCCATTAAGGGTCACAGCCAGGTTAGAACTCCAGACCATTTAGGTCCAGGCCTATGCTCTTAACCACTCCCCTGAACTTCGTTTTTAAGAAAAACAGTATGATGTTTAGGAATTTTGAGATAATATGTCAATTTTAGGAATCCACTGTTGATGCAGTGTCTCCTCCCCTGAGGTAAGGCCCTTACAATTGACAGAAACTGACTAAAAGGCCCCTACAATTGACAGAAACTGACCCAAACATTGTTAGGTGCCTTGAGCTCATCCCTGCTTTTGGTTTAAAAACTTTATTATGTATTGGAGCTCAAAGATTTTCCCAACTGAGGACGTCTATCCAAGAGGGTGGGAGTAAGTGTCAAAAAGAACTCTGCACCTTCTGTCCAGGAAATCCATCACCTCAAGGTCCAAGAGATCTAGCTACATGAAGGCTGGAGGGTGCAGTGGTTACTGCCTGGTGTCAGACAAAACTTGGTTAAAATCCTGCCCTCACCACGTATTTGCTGTGTGACCTTGGGCAAGTCTCTTAACCTCTCTGAGTCCCTGCAGTTTCCTCTGTATTTGAAATGTAGACAAAGCACACTATGTCCTTGATGCTATCATGGGTATTCAACACTACACTTTGGAAGCCTCTGTGACAAAGCAAGACATAGATGCACTCACAAAAGGCTGCCATGGCATGGGGGAGGGGTGCATCTGTTTTCTTTTTGCACCAACTGATCCCTTTGCATAGAAGACTGCCCACTGAGTTCTTCACATAGTTCCCTCCCTCACTTCCTTTAGGTCTTCCCTCAAATGTCATTTCTCAGCTAACTTATTTAATGCAAATTTCCTCCCGCCCCCCACTCTGCTCTCATCCCTGTTTCATTTCTTTCTCTTTTTTTATTGAGGTATAGTTGATTTACAACATTATATAGGTTTCATGTGTACAACATAGTGATTCACAGGTTTTAAAGGTTATAGTCTATTTATAGTTATCATAAAATATTGGCTATATACTATGCACTGTACAATATACCCTTGTAGCTTATCATTTTATACATAGTAGCTTGTATTAAATAGTCTTTTCCATCACTGTAAATCCATAATCATGAAATAGTTGGAAAAATTGGATTTTTAGTATAAGATGGTGAGAAATCCAAGCTTTCAGGCAAAACTTGCAAAGGAGTAGAATCAGTCAAGCAGATGAGGAAACAACAGACACATGAATAATACTTTCTCATCCTTTTCATTACAAAGAAGTCTTCAAAAGTCTCATAATAATATGACCTTTTCTGATGAGTTTATTTGTGTTTTTTAGGAGAGATAAAAAATCCTGGTGAAAATATTCCCAAATCTCTGATTACTGTCCTTCCCATGGTGGCTGTGATTTACTTACTGGCTAATGTATCCTACCTGGCAGTTTTGACTCCCAGGGAAATCATCTCTGCAGGTATGAATGTGTCTAGACAAAGAGGAAATAGTCACTACTACCTCCTCTGAATAAACAGGGACTCCTATATACTGCTATTTTTTCGATACACCCATAAGAGTGTAAATGTGATGTGGTCCTGCTTTGGTTTTCACAAGAAAGGAAAAATAATTATCTAAACAATCTATTAAAAAAATGAGCACATGCTAAAGACTAAGGTCGAAGGGTAGAAGAATGTGAAGAAGCAAGAACTGAAAATAGAATGAGGAAGAGGAAGAAGAGGAGGAAGAGACATGGAGGAGAAAGAGGAAAGAGAAGAGGAGAAACAGGAGCAAGCAAGGCAAGAAGGCAAAGAAGAAACACTTTGTTAGAAGATGTTCCACCCTTTAAGGTGCACCCAGGTACCTGCCCTCAAAACAGTTGTTTGGAACAAGCAGTACCACCTTCATTATCTTCATTTTTCAGATGAGGAAACTGTAGCGAGGAAAGTTAAATAATGAACAGCATTGATAAGATTCAAAAATAGGTCTCAGTCATGCTCTTCTAATGATAAAAGATTACTTCTTGTTCAGGTTATTGCTAGTAATGGATTGTAAATGTGGACATCAATTTGCGAGATCTGACCTTCAAAAATATATTCTTCTCAATTCCATCAAGCATGGTGCTCAAAGTTACACAGCTAGTAATTGAAAAAGACAGACTCAAATCCAGGTTGTTTGACTCCAAGACCTGTGTTCTCAACCACCATACTAAAATGCCTCAACACAAGCAAACCAAATCAAAGCATAACCACCACTAATAGGGCCTATTAGCAAAGCAAGCAATAGTATGAATATTTATTAATATATATTAGATGATGAGTTTTATTAATACATGTAATCATATAACATATACATGACTAAATGGAGATACAACAAAAAGTTAATAGTAAATGACACCATCTGAATGATAATATTGCAAGATATCTTTTATTTCCTTTTTTATACTGTTCATATTTTCCACAATTAGCATGTTGTACTTATGATCCGAAAAAAAAATTTTAATACCAAATAATTATATTTCCACAGAATCAAGTGATGAATTTTTATGACACCACTGGGTCTTTTTTAAAAAATGTTAAATTATGTTCACTTTACTTTAAAAAGGCAGAGTAGAATTTGAAATATATTAGACAAATTCTACAAAATTTTAATTTTTAAAAAATAATTACTCCTGAAAGAAGAGAAGTTTGGTTATCTAGAAAATTCATTTATTGAGAACAACTAACTCTTCAAATATTCTGGATAGAGGTCAAATAATACATCAACAGAAACATAGACTCCAAAACTATTGTATATACAAATAGGCACAGGGGTCTATGAACACATATAGGGTGTGTGGTTTTGGAGGGGCTGACTGTGTCACTCCAGTAACTAGAATTTCCCTGTAATGGATGTGTTTTCAAGGCCAGAGGTCACAAAGAGGATCAGTCTAGTGAGCCACACCACTGAACTGGAGTTCTGCTCTATCATCTGCATTCAAAGCCTTTACAAAACTAAGATTTGAAGTTCATTTTTTAAAAAATCGATATTTTACATGGTCCCAAAAGTCAAAAGGTGCATTTATACATCTTCTCTGAGACTAGTATAAAAATGTTATGTTGATTCTAAAAGAAAAAGAGGAATATACATTTCTAAAAGTAAAAAGAAACACGTTGCTTCCCATAGTTTGGTCTCACAGGAATACAGTAACACACTAAAGGAGATTTTTTTAACTATGAAAATGAGGGGGAGAACTATAATTTGCCTTTCACCCTACATCCAAACCAGGCAGCAAGTTCTGTAAAGACCCACGTCACTAACATCTCTCTTTGGGTGTTCCCTCCTCTTCTTTCCCCCACTCAGTGCCCAGGCCCTTATTTTTCTTACTTCATTTACAGCAATAACCTCCTAATGTATACGCTCACCTCTAACTTCCTCCTTCCAATCCAGCCTCCACTCAGTCTCTAGAGATGACTCTATAAAACACAAATCTAATCCTGTCATCTCCCTGCTTAAATATTCCACCATCTTGTTTTCTCGCATCTCCTCCCAGTCTCACTCTCACAGCTGCTGCAACCACCACACCATCACTCCATCATCACCTTCCTTCAGACCAACTATGAGCTCCTAACCTGACCATGGCAGGTTCTCCAAGATCTGACTCAAGCCTAACTTTCTATCCTCATCTCCTGCCTTCCCTTGCACACACACACACCCTCACCACACGTCAGACTTTCTAAACAATTTACTGTGTTTCCAGAATAAATACTATCTCTCTGCCTCCCTCGCAATGCCATCTCACCAGCCCCTGCCTGATTTAGATGCCTTTCTCATGCTTAATGTCCCACTTATAAGATTTATTCTAAGTTTAATACACTTTGAGTCCTGAAAAGTGCCTCCTAAATCCCATGCACATGCTAGTCTTAGAAAGTTTGAAATGTAGTAGCAAATCACCCCTTCCAATGCATTCTACTGACCAACACAGACCACAAGGCCAGACCGTATTGAAGAATAAGTAAAGAGACTCCCTTTCTTGGAAGGAGCTGCAAAATCATATTACAAAGGGTATGGTTGCAGAGAAAGTGAAGAATTACTGCCGTAGTTTCAATCAAGCAAAGGGACTGACTTTTTTGAAATTTTTCTAAAATTTTCATAGATGCTGTTGCTGTCACCTGGACGGACAAAATAATCCCTTCCATGCAATGGGTCATTTCTTTTGGAATTTCAACTTCAATATTTAGCAGCATGTGTTGTACAGTGCTTTCGGCATCAAGGATGATCTACACAGCAAGCCAAGAAGGACAACTGCCTTTGATCTTCTCGATGCTCAATAACCACTCGTGTCCAACCATGGCTGTCAGCCAGATAATCATCTTAACTTCAGTTGTTATTATAACCTCAGATTTGATAAATTTAATAAAATATTCAGGATTAGCAATATGGTTTTTAAGAGGGTTACATATGATAGGTTTACTTAAACTAAGGTACCAGGAACCCAATCTACCTAGACCTTACAAGGTAAATCAAAATTAAAATGTTAATATTAAACTTCTATTCTCTGTCTAGGAATATAATTTCTTATTCTATATGGGACACTTCTAACGAGTCATGAGTCAAATTTATGAAACATCTGAACCAGACCTCCATTTCCCAGCTTACTGATGTGTAATCGACTGTATGGGCTGCATTTGGTCTGATTTTTCTAGAGTAAAATGTCAAAACTGATTCTCCTCAAGGAAGACAGATGTCATCCTTATTGTCATCTTTCAGGAGCTAGGTAATAACACTTCTGAGGGGAGGGCTTTTTGCCCAACTCAAAAGCATCTCCTCAGTCCATGAACAAATGAGGGTGATGTGGCATACTCTTCTTGTGTATGGCCTTGATAGGGTCTTTATTTTATACAATAAGTTGTTAATCGAAGCCTCAGTTTAGGTGATTACAAAAATTTTGAACCTGAACTTAACTAGCAAGATAGAATCACTATCCTCTATGTAATGTCAGCAGGGCTACTGTAGGTTCCTAGAGTGTCTTTGTGCAAAATATAATAAAGCACCCCTCCCTCTAGGCAGTCCCAGCCCCGTGCCCAGGCACAGAGCCTGGTGAGCTAGATATCAGCCCCCTTTTGCCCCCTCAGATGGGCATGCTTGTATGAGTGTGAACTGCCTAAGCAACCATATGCAAAAGAAATAAAATCAGACTCTCATTTGAAAAGACCATTCTGACAATAGTGTAGAAAGTGAATTAGAAGGAGGGGTGAGCAGTTTCAGGTCAAAGAGCTGGTATAGATTTTCTTAGCTTTACCCCTTTTAACTCAGGAGAATCCTAGATCTCAGAGATTAAGTAAATTACCCTAGATAAAAGGATCAGGGCTGGGATTTAAACCACACATTCTGATTTCAGAGACCAAATTTTTGTTATATTTACTGAAAAGATAGTGATGAATTTTTTATTCTATAAAGGATCCACTGAGGAAATTTTCTCTGATCTTAGCATCAGGAATACTTGGGCCTCTTCTAAACAACTGATTTGCTTATGCCTTTTGGTGGCCTGCTTTCAGAATCTATATGGGGCTTTGTGGCATGAATTTTGTGAGCCAAATTTATTGTTTATCCATGTTTCTTTATTTCCCTCATTTCTTTTTTTAATTTTCATTTATTTTGCCTTGGTATAAAGTAAGCCATACCTTGCTATAATGTAAATCCTAACAGTTTCCAAACAGTCTTTGTTTTATTCTTTAATCATGTTATAAATATAATCCGGTGGCCCATATAATTAAGATACTTCCTGGTTGTAGAGATTGTATGGAAAATAAAATGATAGTCCCATATTTCATGCCAGCGACCATAAAACCACTTGAGTGTGCTTGTTAAAAATCTGAATTCCCAGTCTCACCCCTGGAGGTTCTAATTTAGTAGGTCTTAGATGGGTCTTAGGAATCGGTATATTTACCAATTATCTTGGGGATTCTTATGCAGAGAGGTTGATTGACCATATTTTAAGAAACACTAGCTTAGACAGTTTTGACTTTCTTCCCTCCCAAAAAATTGGATCCCTCTTGGCCATGTCCCAAGTTGAAAAAAGAAAACAATAATATCTTGAATTTCAGTCATCCATTTATTCAACAAATATGCAGTGACTATCTGCTATGTTTCAGGCACTCTCCTAGGCAGTTCAGAGAAATAAAGATGAATCTTTCCATCAAGAATCTTCTTAGCCTCATAGAAGAGTAAGAAATGTATACAAATCACTGTTATAAAGTTTATTAAGAAATGCCATTTGTTGAGCACATTTTACTGAAGTACACTGTATGCAATTCTGACAAAGATTTTAGGAGACCAGCATTAGATAAAAAACTCATTTTGCAAATGAGTCTAAGAGGACCCTTTTTCTTTCAACACTCAGACTTTATATTTAAACTGTAATAACACACAACACACACATATTTCAGGAATATTTGATTAAAAACCTCTGAACATAATTATCCATTAGTACCCGCCGACCCACCGTGTCCTTCCTTCAGTTGTGGTAGGGGTGCGGGGCCCTGAGGGTCTCACTGAGCCATGTTTGGGGTCCCTGTGGAACAGGCACTTGGGGAACCACCTTCTGGTTGTTCTCTGCAAATAGGTCTGAAGATCAGACTAATTAGGTAGACCAAAGTTATACTGCTAGTCAGTGTCACAAGCTCCCTGGAGAAGAACCTTCTTTATCTATCCTAAATACCTCTGTATCCTTAGCATAGCACATGCCACTAAGCAATTCAGTGAATATTTCTTGAAAGAATGAGCAATTAAAATAACAGAGATTGCATTTCTAACCAGACTTTTCTGATTCCAGTATTTCTGTTGTTTCTATTACTTGATGGTGCTGCCCTAAGAAAGACTGGCACATGCTCCCTTAAAGAAGCATTATAAACAAATATTTCAGTTATGACGTTACTGGATTTTCAAATTCCCAAAACTAAGAATGTTTCAATGATTAATACTAGAATGATATAGTTAATTTTTGATGATGTTTAAATGTATTTTTTCTATGCCTGAAAATGAAGCACTAATTTTAGTAAATAAATGACAATATCTGATGAATTGAGTAGGCATTCATGAAAACTATAGAATAAATAAAATACAGTTCCACTTTTTTACAATCATTCAGTCTGCCATTGATTTACTTTCTGTAATGTAATAGTTTGGAAACATCTGTTCCATAAGAAAGAGGATGTTCTTATGTTGTTTATAGAAACCTGAGGACAACGTCATCACTAATCTTAATCTTTTTTTAACTTTCAGGTGCCTTTGCCATTTATATTTGGATGCATAGCTATATCTTTGTTTCTGATTTTGACGCCATTGATTCAGGCTCCTAAAATAGAGCATGTCTATGGGCTTATCTTTATGTTCAGTGGACTCTTGTGTTACTGGATTCATGTTCACCTTAATCAACATTCTGTCTGTTTTGTCAAAATCACTTGTTATTTACAATTACTGTTTAATGTTTCACCACCTGAAGACCATGATGAAGGTACTTCAACAGGAAAAAATGACCTTAAAGAAATCTTTGTAAATAAGAAACTTTAAAATGTAAAATGTTTAATGAATGAATACATTCTTAAAGGCAACCTTTGCTTTAAAATATATACACACAAACACAAAGCCTCTACCTCCTGTCCAACCTCCAGCTACACATATCAAATCCACCCCCCTAGCTACATATTCAAGCTCTTTACAATTCAAATTATTCTCCTGGTAACTGAAGCCTTAGTTCCATAGTGCCCAACATGTTTCTCACCACTTTCTTCTTGGTCAAAAATTTTAAATGCGTGCACACACACACACACACACAAACAAAGTTTAAAAGGCATAATATGCCTTAGTCACTTAATTACTGCCTACTTCCATGTGTAAAAATTATTATAATGTTGTAAACAAGAAACTAATATAATGTATGTCAATTATATATCAATAAAATAAACAAACAAGTAAATAAAAAAACAAAAAGTCATTGCCAGGAAGATAAATTCATAGGTGTCTAGTGTATAGCAGATACTTAATATTTGTTGAATGAATGAATATAGTTGCATCAGCAAAAATAAAGAAAATATTGTAAATCTGTAATTGATATTAATAAATACTATGCATAACTTTCTACTCACTGGTCTAAACTCTTCACAGTGATACCAATTAAAATAACATATTTTACTTTCAAGTCTCTGTGTTTAGCCTTTATAAAGTGTGATACGCTAAATCATGGCCCTCAAAAATACGTCTAGGTCAATTAAGTTCATATCTAGTAAGAGAAGTTTTGTGGAACCAAACTTCCCAAATTTTGTGGAACCCTAAAATCAATACATTAACTGGCATTAAAAAGGGAATAAAAAAACATAAAGACACTAAAGTTTCTAAAATCCAGTAATAATAATAATGATTTTCTTTTGTTCCTGTAAAAATAAAAATAAACAAGGCATTATTTAAAAAAAAAGAAGGGATAGAATGTCATGAAAACTTGTTTAAAGACTTTGAAATCGAGGTGGGGAACTTATTGGATGTCCTGTCTAGTATACCTTTCTTAGTTACTTGTGCTTTTTAATGTCTTTAAGCCATGTTACAACTCTAAGTTGTAGAATACTCATAATAATGCAAATGATTTTTGACAATAGAAACATAAGTGAATTTTGTCTAGTGGATGCAGTGATTACCATGGATACTGACAACTTTTACTTCTACTTGTAAATTTGTTTCGACATTCTTGACTGCCTATGTGTGTACATTGTTTGAATTCTCTTTTAAACTGGTTATAATATCTCACTGGTTCCCTCATTAAATAGTGAGTTAAATATTTTTTAAAATATATATATGTATAAGGTTATATATATTTTTTAATATTTAACTCATTTTATAGATATAGATGATAGATATAGATATTGATATAGATAGATATAGATCTCCAGGCCCTAATCCCTGGAACCTCTGAATCTTACTTTATATGGAAAAAGAGTTTTTACAGATGTGATTAAGGATCTTGAGATGAGGAGCATTTTACTGGATTATCTATGTAGGCCCTAAATGTAATCACAGATGTATTTATAAAAGAGAGATAGAGGGAGATTAGATACAGACAAAAGAGAAGGCAGGGGGAGACCTTCAAGATGGCGGGGGAGTAAGATGTGGAGATCACCTTCCTCCCCACAAATACATCAGAAATACATCTACACGTGGAACAATTCCTACAGAACACCTACTGAACGCTGGCAGAAGACCTCAGACTTCCCAAAAGGCAAGAAACTCCCCACGTACCTGGGTACGGCAAAAGAAAAAAAGAAAAAACAGAGACAAAAGAATAAGGACAGTACCTGCACCTCTGGTAGGGAGCTATGAAGGAGGAAAAGTTTCCACACACTAAGAATCCCCTTCACTGGCGTAGACGGGAGTGGGAGGGGGTGGGCGGGGGAGGGAAGCTTCGGAGCCACGGAGGAGACCTCAGCAACAGGGGTGCGGAGAGCAAAGGGGAGAGATTCCCGCACAGAAGATCGGTGCCAACCAGCACTCACCAGCCCAAGAGGCTTGTCTGCTCACCCGCTGGGGCAGGCGGGGACTGGGAGCTGAGGCTTGGGCTTCGGAAGTCGGATCCCAGGGCGAGGACTGGGGTTGGCTGCATGAACACAGCCTGAAGGGGGCTAGTGCGCCACAGCTAGCTGGGAGGGAGTCTGGGAAAAAGTCTGGAACTGCTGAAGAGACAAGAGACCATTGTTTCAGGGTGTGCGAGGAGAGGGGATTCCTTCCCCATGTGCCCACAGAAGGCAGAGTGCCACCTAAACGAGCTCTAGATATGGGTGCGAGCTGCAGCTATCAGCTTGGGACCAGAGATGGGCGTGAAATGTTAATGCTGCTGCTGTAGCCACCAAGAATCCTGTGTACAAGCACAGGTCACCCTCCACACCACCCCCGGGCCCACCCGGAGCCTGTGCAGCCCACCACTGCCAGGGACCCATGATCCAGGGACAACTTCCCTGGGAGAACACATTGCTCCCCACAAGCTGTTGCAACGTCATGTTGGCCTCTGCCACCGCAGGATCCCCCTGCATTCCAATTTTAACTATGTACCCCTCCCTCCCCCCAAACCTGAGTTAGCCAGAGCCCCTAATCAGCCGCTGCTTTAACCCCATCCTGTCTGGGTGGGGAACAGATGTCTGAGGATGACCTACATGCAGAGGTGGGGCCAAAACCAAAGCTGAACCCCAGGAGCTGTGCAAACAAAGAAGAGAAAGGGAAATTTCTCCATGCAGCCTCAGGAGCAGGGGATTAAATCCCCACAATCAACTTGGTGTACCCTGCATCTGTGGAATACCTGAATAGACAACGAATCATCCCAAAATTGAGGTGGTGGACTTTGGGAGCAACTGTAGACTTGGGATTTGCTGCCTGCCAATGACTTGTTTCTGATTTTTATGTTTATCTTAGTATAGTTTTTAGCACTTATTATCATTGGTGGATTTGTTTACTGCTTTTGTTGCTCTCTTCTTTTTTTAATTATTATTACTTTTTTTTTTTTTTTTTTTTTGCGGTACGCGGGCCTCTCACTGTTGTGGCCTCTCCCGTTGCGGAGCACAGGCTCCAGACACGCAGGCTCAGCGGCCATGGCTCATGGACCCAGCCGCTCCGCAGCATGTGGGATCCTCCTGCACTGGGGCATGAATCCGTGTCCCCTGCATTTGCAGGCAGACTCTCAACCACTGCGCCACCAGGGAAGCCCTTTATTTTTTATTTTAATAATTTATTTTTTTCTTTTAATAATTTTTTAAAATTTCTTTTTCCTTCTTTTTTCCTCTGTTTTCTTCTGAGCTGTGTGGCTAACAGGGTTTTGGTGCTCCGGCTGGGTGTCAGGCCTGAGCCTCTGAGGTGGGAGAGCTGAGATCAGGACATTGGACCACCAGGGACCTCCCAGCCCCATGTAATATCAATTGGTGAGAGCTCTCCCAGAGATCTCTATCTCAACGCTAAGACCCAGCTCCACCCAACAGCCAGCAAGCTCCAGTGCGGGACGCCCCATGCTAAACAACTAGCAAGATAGGAGCACAACACCACCCATTAGCAGAGGCTTTCTAAAATCATACTAAGTTCACAAACACCCCAAAACAGACCACCAGACGTGGTCCTGCCCACCAGAAAGACAAGATCCAGACCCAACCACCAGAACACAGGCACCAGTCTTGTGTTCCAACAGCCACTGAACCAACCTTACCCACGGGGGGCAGACACACAAAAAATGAGAATTACGAACCTGCAGCCTGTGAAAAGGAGACCCCAAACACAGCAGGTTAAACAAAATGAGAAGACAGAGAAACACACAGCAGATGAAGGAGCAAGGTAAAAACCCACCAGGCCAAACAAATGAAGAGGAAATAGGCAGTCTACCTGCAAAACAATTCAGAGCAATGAGAGTACAGATGATCCAAAATCTTGGAAATAGAATGGAGAAAATACAAGAAACGTTTAACAAGGACCTAGAAGAACTAAAGAGCATACAATGATGAGCAACACAATAAATGAAATTAAAAATTCTCTAGATAGAATCAATAGCAGAATAACTGAGGCAGAAGAGTGGATAAGTGACCTGGAAGATAAAATAGTGGAAATAACTACCACAGAGCAGTAAAAGGAATGAAAAGAATTGAGGACATTCTCAGAGACCTCTGGGACCACATTAAATGCACCAACATTCGAATTATAGGGGTCCCAGAAGAAGAAGAGAAAAAGAAACGTACTGAGAAAATATTTGAAGAGATTAAAGTTGAAAACTTCCCTAATATGGGAAAGGAAATAGTTAATCAAGTCCAGGAAGCACAGAGAGTCCCATAGAGGATAAATCCAAGGAGAAACAGGCCAAGACACATATTAATCAAACTATCAAATATTAAATACAAAGAAAAAATATTAAAGCAACAAGGGAAAAACAACAAATAACACACAAGGGAATCCCCATAAGGTTAACAGCTGATCTTTCAGCAGAAGCACTGCAAGATGGAATGTTCTATATATGTCTAGATGTGTTAGGTCCATTTGGTCAAAAGTATAGTTCAAGTCCAACATTTCCCTATTGATTTTCTGTCTGGATGATCTATCCATTGTTGAAAGTGGGATATTGAAGTGCCCTACTATTATTATCTTGTTATCTATTTCTCCCTTCAAATCTGCTAGTATTTGCTTAATACAGTCAGATGCTCTGATGTTGGGTGAACATATTTATAATTGTTATAACCTCTCGATAAACTGACACCTTCATTGTTATATACTGACCTTGTTTGTCTCTTGTTACAGTTTTAAGTTGAAGTCTATTTTGTATGATATGAGTATAGCTACTCCTACTTTCTTTTGGTTTCCATTTGCATGGAATATCTTATTCTATCTCTTTACTTTCAGTCTACGTGTGTTCTTAAAGCCACGGTGAGTCTCTTTTAGGCAGAAAACAGTTGGGTCTTGATTTTTTTTTATCCATTCAGCCCCTCTATGCCTTTTGATCGGAGGATTTAATCCATCTACATTTAAAGTAATTATGACAGGTAAGGATTATCTGGCTGTTT